TTGCTTTCCAGACGATATTATGCCGGGTAAGGAGTTTAAATGAAATTATTTTCTTTAATCTGCGGGAGGGTGTGGCGGAGTTAAGGAATTTGTCTCCGACAACACTATGATATACGACTTGCGTGAGAATGTCTTAAAACGGACGCCAAATGCGAGCATTAGACAAAATAAACCATTTCCAGGATTTACCGGGGAACACTTGTTGGCTTTTTTTTTTTTTCAGCAGCAGAAGGTAAAAGATTGAAGAGTAGCTAAACCCAAGAATTTAACTTTTTAAATATTGCAGCTGACCAGTCCTTGAGTTAGGTTCAAGTGCGACGGCGCTCGCGTTTCTGCACATTCCTGTGCATCGCATGTAGGGCAGCCCATTCAATGCAATGGACTGCTCTACACGCGAGAAAGGTGGAAAAGACATCCATGACCCTTTTCCAAATTGGGGCCTTGGCTCCAATTTAGGATGTTAAACACATATCATTCCCAAAACATAGAGGAAGCAGTCAAACGCCTTGTTTAACCACCTCCTGTCTGTCCGTTGTATATAAACGGCCATACGGTGGCAGTGCAGGGTCGGGTGGCCGTTTATAATCGGCCTCCCCGCACCCTGCTTGTGCGCGCTCCCTGGGAGCGCGCAGCACTGCGATCCGGTGCCCGCTGTGTCCTCCAGACTCAGTGGAACACCGTTCGTCGGACGGGACCTCTACAAGGTCCCGATCATGTGATCGCTGATTGGCCCATCAGTGATCACATGCAGAGTAGTAAGCAAGATGTCACTTCTGACATCATTGCTTACTACGTGTGAAATCTGTGAATGATCACAGAGGTCACATGGTACAAGGCTATTCACAACAGCCTTGTACCATGTGACAAGCTGTGACCAATCACAGCTCACACAGTAGTTCTCAATGGCTACAAGAATGCAGGCAGAGAGAAGGAGAAATGATTGCTTTTACATCCTATATGGGTGTAAAAGCAATCAGTGTAAAAAAAAAAAAGAAAATCTTCATCACCCCCCACAAGTAGTACAGGGTCACCATGGTGACACTGTACTGCTAGGGTGACAGTATGTAAAAAAAAAATAATTAAAAATATTACAAAAATTTAAAAAAAAATGTTTAAAATTATAATTTTTTGGTTATAAACTAATTTGGGTTATTTTTATTTTTTTTTACTAAAAATATAACGAAATAAATTTTGGCCAAGATTTATGATGAAATACTGTTTGCAAAATTTTATAAGAAAAACACTTTTTTTTCTAAATTTTTGGACATTTTAATTTACATAGCAAAAAAAAAAAAAAATCCCAGCGGTGAATAAATACCACCAAAATAAAGCTTTATCTAAAAAAAAAAAATGCTACAAAATTCATATGGGTACAGTCTTGCATGACCGCGGAATTGTCATTCAAAGTGTGAAAATTGGCATGGACGGGAAGGGGGTAAAAGCGTCCGGACGGGAAGTGGTTAAAGTGATGGCCAGAACCTCCATACTGGTCTTTGTTTAAATGCCCCCAAACCAGAGCTGAACATTGCTTATAAAGGGTTTGGCAAAGTTTCTTGGACCTCACTAAAAGCTTTGCACATGCATTGTAAAAGCTTGCTGTAGACGCTGCTCTTATACAAGCTGAAACTTCTGTGTACAGGGCCTGACCGTGATATCATAAGTTGACCATAAGACCATAGCCCATCAAGTGGAAACATCCAAGTTCTTGGTTGGGAGATGTGTGATGGGGGCCTATAGACATACAAACCTGCCCTGATCACCAGAGAACAGTTGGTTTGATCTGTAGGCTCCTAATGTTGACTTGGGCCAGGTTCACACCCATGCATAGCAGTAAAAAGTGAATTAGTTTATGGGACCCCAACACACACTTACAGCAAAGTATGAAAGAAAAAATGGAAGCACACACTGGGAAGCCAGTTGGTTCCAAGACAGGCTTCATCTATGCCTCTTCCCAAGCCATGCCCCCTCGAATGCAATTCCCCTGCTCATGGACTTAATCGTAGAGACCTCTGATTAAGCCCATGATAAGGTGTAATGCATTGGTGGGTGTGGCTTGGGAGAAGGCATAGCTGGAGTCACTTTGGGTGTGGGGCCCATGGAACCCAGCTCCCTTTTGGAGAGGTGGGGAGACCCCTGTCTCAGCTCCCCATATCCCTCTTATGTGTAAGTCACCCTGTGCCTGTTAGGGGTACAGGGCGATCTGTTCTAATATTGTGTAGACATGTATAGGTGGGGTGGGGGTTGTGGATTGTTTGGTGATTATGTGGTTGCATCCCATTGTTCTATCGTGTGTCTTGCTTGGGAGCAAACTATTATGGGATGTATGTGTTTGTGTATTGGCTTCGTGGGGGGTGTCTCCAGCAGCCCTCCCTCCTGATGGTCTGCTGGTGTGTCTCTTGTTACTTAAAGGTAGATTGATCCACCCTGTGTCATTATGCAGGGAGGGGGGAGTTGTTCCCTTGAATGTATATATCTTGTATCTGTGTTAAAATAAAGTAGTCTACTTCCTGGTTTACTTCAAGACTGGTGTCGTCTAGTCTTGTATGGTCAGCTGTGGTGTCTATGGTCGGTGTTTGGACGGGGAAGCGGTAGTCTAACGGAAGTACCTAAGTGCAGTCTGGGGTCGGTTCCGTTACATAAACCCTGCCTGATTTGCTTGGAACTGGGTGGCTTCCCAGTGCGCTCCTTTTTTTTTTTTTTTTTTCCCTTTACAAGGGCCCGTCTCACCTGATGGCCAACCATGAAAGGGAAAATGATGGCCAACCATGAAAGGGGAAATAATGGAAGTGTACACCTGGGTCCATGTATTGTATTGGGACAGGCTTCAGCAATGCCTCCTCCCAAGCCATGCCCTTTCTAATGCATTTCACCTGCTCATGGGATTAATTGTAGAGACTTATAATATTTAAGCCCATGAACAGGTGAAATGCATTAGGAAGGTGTGGCTTTGGAGAAGGCATAAACCTGTTTGATATACTTGGAACTGGGCAGCTTCCCGGTGCGCTTTTTCCATTTTTTTTTCTTTCATAATGGGCCATTGGGTGAGACGGACCCTTGTAAAGTCAGCACTTGACAGTGTTTGGAATCACCAGGTTGAACATGGCGGGGCTTTGAGCAACACTTCTTGTTCGGATCTCGGTGAACACACCTCTAGTAGCTTCAAGTGCTCCTGCAATTCATTGCACCCCAAACACTTTGTGGTACTTGGTAATATCAAAAATGATACAGGGCGTGTTTTTTGTGTGCATTAAAGTGTGCTGCTAGCCCATTCAATAGGAATAGGATGGCTTAACACAGTTCCCCTCAATGTAAGATGTATGTTATGGGATACACCAGTGTGAAGGGGCCAATCCTGTATATCGAAAGCCAAAACTGTTTTTTTGTTTTTTTTGTTTTTTTTTTTTTGTGATAGGAGTTATTTTGTGATCTTGAGTCACACCCTACACTGTCTCATTGCTTTGGAGTACCTTCACTTCTTTCCCATAGATCAGGGGTCTCTAAAACAAAGGGACAGTGTACTGTGCTTCAGACATTAGAGGGCTGGACAGTGGCCAGTGGGAGTAGAGAATGTCCTGTTATCAGTGGGAGTAAAACTGTGTACCACCTTTTGGTATTGGGGGAATTATTAGTCCCCCACTGTTGGTGTCTGTGGGAGGAATAGATCCCCCACTGTTGGTGTCAGTGGAGGAATAGGTCCCCCACTGTTGGTATCTGTGGGAGGAATAGTGCCCCCATTGTTGGTGTCTGTGGGAGGAATAGTGCCCCCATTGTTGGTGGGTAGGAATAGTGCTGTGGGAGGAATAGTGCCCCCCCATTGTTGGTGTCTGTGGGAGGAATAGTGCCCCCCCATTGTTGGTGTCTGTGGGAGGGGAAATAGTGCCCCCCCATTGTTGGTGTCTGTGGGAGGAATAGTGCCCCCCCATTGTTGGTGTCTGTGGGAGGAATAGTGCCCCCCCATTGTTGGTGTCTGTGGGAGGAATAGTGCCCCACCATTGTTGGTGTCTGTGGGAGGAATAGTGCCCCCCCATTGTTGGTGTCTGTGGGAGGAATAGTGCCCCCCCATTGTTGGTGTCTGTGGGAGGAATAGTGCCCCCCCATTGTTGGTGTCTGTGGGAGGAATAGTGCCCCCCCATTGTTGGTGTCTGTGGGAGGAATAGTGCCCCCCCATTGTTGGTGTCTGTGGGAGGAATAGTGCCCCCCCATTGTTGGTGTCTGTGGGAGGAATAGTGCCCCCCCATTGTTGGTGTCTGTGGGAGGAATAGTGCCCCCCCATTGTTGGTGTCTGTGGGAGGAATAGTGCCCCCCCCCATTGTTGGTGTCTGTGGGAGGAATAGTGCCCCCCCCCATTGTTGGTGTCTGTGGGAGGAATAGTGCCCCCCCATTGTTGGTGTCTGTGGGAGGAATAGTGCCCCCCCATTGTTGGTGTCTCTGTGGGAGGAATAGTGCCCCCCCATTGGTGTCTGGTGGAGGGAATAGTGCCCCCCCATTGTTGGTGTCTGTGGGGAGGAATAGTGCCCCCCCATTGTTGGTGTCTGTGGGAGGAATAGTGCCCCCCCCATTGTTGGTGTCTGTGGGAGGAATAGTGCCCCCCCCATTGTTGGTGTCTGTGGGAGGAATAGTGCCCCCATTGTTGGTGTCTGTGGGAGGAATAGTGCCCCCATTGTTGGTGTGTCTGTGGGAGGAATAGTGCCCCCCCATTGTTGGTGTCTGTGGGAGGAATAGTGCCCCCCCATTGTTGGTGTCTGTGGGAGGAATAGTGCCCCCCCATTGTTGGTGTCTGTGGGAGGAATAGTGCCCCCATTGTTGGTGTCAGTGGGAGGAATAGTACCCCCCATCGATATGGGTGTGAGAGCTGAACTGATTAAGGTGGAGGTCCGCTATAACACAGTCCTTTCAAATCTCGGCCAACGGTCTGACATTGCTATGAGTTGTGAGTGCGCAGTTCTCAAATCTCTGTGGTTGTAGTTGTGATGTGTCATCTTTGTGTGTTTCTCTTGCAGTCATTCCACTGCCCCTCGCCGAAGAAAATGCCGTTCAGAAAAATGGATCCGAGTTGCACAATTGGATTTTATTGCAAAAACGCTCAGGACTTTAAGAGGGTTGAGGAGGAGCTCACAAAGGTATACAAAGTAAAGTGTCTGCAGAGAGGAAGTGAAGGAAAGTGTTCCCAGTGGGACACAGTAAATAACTGCTTCCTGACCACCCTATAGTAGAAGTACTGCTACAGGGCGACAGGGCTGAGCAAAATCATGAGTATATAGACGTGATTTCGTATCTCCGGGTAGGGTAAGCCCACTGGCGGCTTCAGCTGTCGATCACCGGGTCCTGGCCGGTGATTCCCTGCCAGCAATCGCCGAGTATCACGGACAGGGGAGAGGTCTATATGTAAACACAGATCTCTCCCCTGTCGGCTCCAGCAAGCTGCTTTGTATGGCATACAAAGCAGCATGCTTACATAATAAAGCACAACACACAGTAAAAACACACACACAGCACACAGTTAACCCTTTGATCTCCCAAGATGTTAACCCCTTCCTGCCCAGTGCCATTATTACAGTGTCAGTGCTTTTTATTAGCACTGATCACTGTATTGGTGTCACTGGGGGTGGCAGTTAGTTCCCCTCCAGTGTCAGAATGCCCACCGCAGTCCCGCTATAAGTCGCTGATCGCCTCCATTACTAGTATAAAAAAACGAATTCCGGTATATACACCACAATTTGTAAACGTTATAACTTTCACGTAAAACCAATTATTTTACACGTATTGGGATTTTTTTTAGCAAAGACATGGAGCAGAATACATTTTGGCCTAAATTTGTGATGAAATTTGGATTTAAAAAATTTTTTTTTACTGGACATGTTTAATAGCAAAAAGTAAAAAAAATATATATATATTTTTTTTTTCTCAAAATTGTCGGTCCTTTTTTTTTAAGGCGCAAAAAATAAAAAATGCACAGGCGATCAAATACCACCGAAAGAAAGCTCTATTTGTGGGGGGGGGGGGGGGGGGGGGGGGGGAAGACATTTCATTTGGGTGCAGCATTGCATGCCCGCACAATTTAATTTGCAAGGATTTCCTCTCACTTCCTGTTTGGGTATGGGACAGGAAGTGAAGGGAAATCTCCCAAATGGGATGAAGATGGTGCCCTCCTTGGGATTCAGAAGTCCCTTTTATACATATCTTGGGCCTGTTCTTGTGCCCAAAACCTACCTCTCTTTAACCACTTCCTGTCCGGCCTTTGTATATAAACGGGGGCGGTGGCAGTGCAGGGTCGGGTGGCCGTTTATAAACGGCTTTCCCCGCCCCCCCCGCTTGTGCGCCCTCCCTGGAAGTGCACAGCACCGCGATCCGTTGCCCGGTGTGTCCTCCGGACACAGTGGAACACCGATCGTCGGACAGGACCTCTGTGCGAGGTCCCAATCATGTGATCACCGATTGGCCAATCAGTGATCACATGCAAAGTAGTAAGCAAGATGTCACTTCTGACATCATTGCTTACTACGTTCGAAATCTGTGAATGATCACAGAGGTCACATGGTACAAGGCTATTCACAACAGACTTGTATCATGTGACAAGCTGTGATTGGTCACAGCTTGTCACATGATACAAGTCTGTTGTGAATAGCCTTGTACCATGTGACCTCTGTGATCACCAATCACAGCTCACTCAGAGAGAAGGAAGGAGAAATGATTGCTTTTACAGCCTTTATGGGTGTAAAAAAGCAACCAGTGTAAAAAAAAAAAAATGTAAAAAAAAATGTTTACTAAAAAGATAATGGAATAAATTTTGGCCAAGATTTATGATGAAATACTATTTATTTGCAAAATTTTATAAGAAAAACACTTTTTTTTTTTTCAAAATTTTGGGATTTTTTTCATTTACATAGCAAAAAAAATAAAAAATCCCAGCGGTGCATAAATACCACCAAAAAAAAGTTTTATATGTCTCAAAAAAGCTAAAAAATTCATCTGGGTACAGTGTTTTTGCATGACCGCGCAATTGTCATTCAAAGTGTGATAGCGCGGAAAGCTGAAAATTGGCCTGGACAGGAAGGGGGTGAAAGTGTCCGGACTGGAAGTGGTTAAAGCAGCCCATACATGGGTCGAATCCCGAACGATTTTTCGAGCGAAAATCGAAAACCTCATTTGTTCTGTAATCCGATGGTGCCACCAATGATTTTGAAAATCTGTTGTTTTGCGCGAATTTTCCAGCATGTCCGATAAACTAAATGGGGAGGAACCAACGAAAATCGGCCAATTATTCTTAGGTCCGATTTTCCAACGAAAATCGACCCATGTATGTCCGGCCTGATCCTCATTATTTTAGTGTTTTATTTTTCACAAACTGTAAAAAAAAAAAAAAAAAGAAAAAAGAAAAAGAAAAAAAGTGACATAAAAAGTTTTAAAGTGACTTTACACAAATCCTAACAAACCTGGATTCAATTAAAATAAATGACATTGAATACATCCCGCCTAAACAAACCCTCTAAAGATTTGTTTTTTTGTTTTTTTTTTTTTTTTTTTTTTTTTTTTTTTTTTTGTTCAATTTATAAAAGTAGACTGAAATGTGGCTGCTATTGGTTACTTCCAAGTGCAGTCAGCCAATGTTTCTCATTTTAAGGTGCGCCTCTTTTCCCTGCTAGAAGTTGAATTTCTAAACTTGGATTTTTACTTCCAGTAGGTGGCGCCATTGAATTGGTGAATTCTTCCCTTCTGTACAATGTGTGTACACTGCAGAGGAAATCCCCCCCCCCCCAATCATTGCAATAGAAGATATTTCAGTTTGTATTCCCCAATCTTGAAATCTAGTAAACAGTGATGTGGATGGAAATGTTTTGATTGGACAAATCCCAGAATAATCTCAGGATTACAGTTGTGGTCATAAAAAGTAGATGTAAAATATAGTTAATGTTCTAGCAGTCTAAAGCAGAATTTCTTGCGTTTTACCTTCTTTATTGCGGGTTGTTACTATGGCTTCTCACTTGATACGCTGACCTAGAGTTCTCCTTTAGATCCGGTTCACACCATCGCAAGGCTGTGAATCCTGTGCGTTTTCTGCACCGCTTTGCAATCGCGTTGCGTTCATGCGACCTGGTGCGTATGTCAATGATAAATGAATGACACCCCAAAACAGATCGAGAAACGTGATGCGATTGCCAGAGATGGCATGGGTGAGAACACCCATGTGATGTGATTCAGGTGCGCATTTAAAAAAGGGTCCTGCGCCTTTTTGGTGCCGATGCGATTTGAGCCATTCAAAATGTGTGGCTCAAACCGCACAGACATTTGCATGTAATTCGCACAGGAATGCGGTGTGATTCCTCTGCGAATTATATGTCCCGCACTGCATAGCGTAAACCGGGGCTTAAAGTTCCTTGAAAATTGGTACTACGGGTTCCTTGATCTGGACTGACCTCATGCAGATGGAGGACACCAGCCAAGGTTTGTTATATTTAGTAGGGGCAATTGATGAGGATATGCTGGTCATGCGATCTTTTTACCTGCTTTAGAGTTCTGTTGACAAACTTTTTTTTTTTTTTTTTTTTTTTTAACTTGGAGGTGGGGCTACACCTTTTTGTATTCTGGAATTTTTTTATTTCTTTTTTGGAGGGGGGGGGGGGCTGCACATTTTTTATCCGAAAACTGTTGGTGCGTTTTTTTTTTTGCTTTAGAGGGGAGTTACATATTTATATTCTAGAATTGCTAGAGAGAGACTGTTTATTTGTTTTTTATATCTTTTTTGTTTTTTAACACAGGCCACAACACACATGTGTCAGACCCAATACCCCCCCCCCCCCCCCACTACCACTTCTTCCCTTGCTCTGATGACTCCTCCCTACCTTGAGTGTCTTTATTCTTCCCCCCCCTTACAGACAGGTAGTATGGAAGTACGATAACTTCACCATCTTTGCACACAAATGGGATGTATGCTGCACAGGGGTGGACTGACAACTCATGGGGCCCCCGGGCAATAGAGGATCATGGGGCCCCTGTGTCCTTACCCAAACTCAAAAAAGCCTATGAAAAAGGTATCAGGGGCATCTCATGGGGCCCCCTACTGACCCCGGGCCCTCGGGCAGTGCCAGAGTTTCCAAATGGTCAGTCCGCCCCGATCCTGCACATGAGTAGGTGTGCTAAAAAGGCTCTGCTAGAACCCGACAGCCAGGCAGAGCTGTGCATACACCATAATGGTGGTACTGGAAGGGGACTGGAGCAGCCAAAAATGGGGGCTGAAGCTCCTCTTTAAGTGGAATAGGAAAAAGCTAGAACCCCTGTCAGCTTTTTAATTACTATAGACCGTCTATCTGTTAGGCTGGATTCACACTTGCGCATAGTGTCTTTAAGCTTTTTCCGTGCGATTTATACACATTTTATGCACATTTTCATACAGTGTTTTTTAGGCATTTATGAGCTTTGATGGCTTTTTATTTATTTGCCAATAGAGAAGAATATCATCTGTTGCATCATTTGTTGCTAGAAATGTCAGCTTTTTTAGCTTTTCCATCAGCTTTTATTTTATTTTTTTTATTTGATCTTTTTTTGTTAGGCTAAGGGGTTAGAGTTAAGGTTAGGATAGGGTTAGGGTTTAAAATGTTAGTTATTGTCATCTTATTTATGTTTTTGTTAGGGTAATAATGAGGATAATAAATTAATAAATGTAAAATAAATACACAAATATCATGAATAATATATATTAATAAATAAATACCCTAGCACAAAATATAATATAATGGGTTTTTTTTTGGGGGGGGGGGGTTTGGTTGTTTAGAAAAAAAAAAAAAAGTAATAAAATTATATATATGACTATTTTTATTTGTGTATTTTATTTTACATGTGTTCATATATTACTATTTTTATGTGTTTCCATTCGTCTCCATGGAACTAAAAAAAAATGCAGATATCTACCCGATTTTGAGCGACAAAAAAAAACTCCAGAACTTGTTTGAGCTTCAGGTGTTTGGCTTCAGGCGACTTGGAGTGGAGATGTGAACCATCTCCAATGAGAATAATAGATTTTTTTTTTTTTCCCAAGTGTTTTGGAGCTTCATGCTGCAAATCGCTCAAGTGTGAATGGGGCCTTATTTTTCCCAAACTTTGGTAAGTTAAGGGAAAATTTCAACTGGAGCCTGGAGCCTGCATAGCAGTAAACACCCAATAGTGGTTCTAAACTTCCCCACTCTATAAAATAAAAAAAAACATTTGGATGGACATACATTTTATTAAAAGTCCGGAAAGTGTTTGAATTCTTGTTCTTTCACTGCTCAGCTGATTTTTTTTTTTCAATTCAACCAAAAATTATACAAAAATAATAGAGTATAAAAGTCACTAATTGGTTATAGAAGAGCGGTTGCTGTAGTCTCAAACAATTCCAAGTATTACAAAGTATCTAATAGACCAGAATAGGAGACTCTCATGCTCCTCAATGGATGAACAATGTATCCACAATGATTATCCATTTGGAAATTGTTGCCAGGACTGGAGCATGCCAAGGATATCCATTTGTAGGAGACCTCTTACTTGTGGCCAGAGGGTTTGTGCATCGGGGAGAGTTCACACATTTGAAAAGGGGAATTTTATACAAGTGTGTGTTGTTTTTTTTTTTTTTTTAACTAATGTGCTATGGGTAGGTCTTGTCTTATCTCATGGCCCGTGCTCTGTGGGTAGGTCTCATCCTGTAGCCTGTGCTGTGGTTAGGTCCCCTCTTGTCCCGTGGCCCGTGCTTTGTGGGCGAGGCTCGCCCCGTGGCCCGTGCTTTGTGGGCGAGGCTCGCCCCGTGGCCCGTGCTTTGTGGGCGAGGCTCGCCCCGTGGCCCGTGCTTTGTGGGGCGGGGACTCGGCCTGTGCTTTGTGGGCGAGGCTCGCCCCATGGCCTGTGCTTTGGTTAGGTACCCTCTCGTCCCATGGCCCGTGCTTTGTGGGCGGGGCTCGTCCCATGGCCCGTGCTTTGTGGGCGGGGCTCGTCCCATGGCCCGTGCTTTGTGGGCGGGGCTCGTCCCATGGCCCGTGCTTTGTGGGCGGGGCTCGTCCCATGGCTCGTGCTTTGTGGGCGGGGCTCGTCCCATGGCCCGTGCTTTGCGGGTAAGTCTCATCCTGTAACCTGTGCTGTTTTTAGGTCCCCTCTTGTTCCATGGCCCGTGCTGTATCCCTTCCTCTCACTAGCTGTTTTGCCAAACAAATTCAGATGTCAAGCTGGTTTGAATCTGGTGGCCGTAAGAATGACTGATCAGGCTTTCTGCATGTAAGAGGAAAGGATCCTGCAGGGGGCATGTTTGGGAACACCTCTCATGCATTACACAGGGTGGGGAAAGGGGTTCCCGCATGACCAATATAAGAGAGTGTATTGGACCTCTGCACTATAGTTTGAGGGGGCCTTGGAGAGTATACATTATGCACTTCAGGGCTGTGCCATTTTCATTGTACCCTACATGGCCAACAGCCCATTTTGGCATCTGTATGCACAGGACCTTCTGCCAATCCAGCACTGTGCCTTAAGAACCTGTTTAGATGTCTTCTTTATAAATGTAACCTGCATTACATCCATTGTTGTGCCATTCAAATTAAAGGGCACCTCAACGCATTAAGGCAAGGGTAGACACCTCGGCACTCCAGCTGTGGTGAAACTACAAATCCCATCATACCACGGCGTGTCGTACCTATGGCTCAGTCTTGGTATTTGTAGTTATTGGTATTTTCCATCACACAGTTTTTTTAGGACATCTCTTCTTTCCTTCTTTCAGGTTCTAAAGTCTTCCAGCAAACAGAACTATCCATTATTTACCTTTGTCAATGGACACGCTCAAGACTTTGATTTCGCTTGCTCGCCGCTGTTTGAGCAGTCTGACCTTTTCACGGAGGAGGACAAGACGAGATTAAATAGCTACAACGCAGAGGAGTTTGTCTTGCTGTAAAGTTTTCTTCGCTCCTCATTCCTGGCGGTCCTCTATCGTCCATCCAACTGCAAATCCTACAACACTAGACTGTTATTGTTCGTTGTTTGTTTTTACAATCTGTTTTTTAAATTAAAATTTTAATGTTTTTAGACCTCTTTAAAAAAAAGAAAAAATCACTATTTTAAGAAAGTAGATCTTTGTAAGGTGGTTACACCAGTGCATGTGCTTTTGGCAGGCTCCTGTGAACTTTGAGACTTTGTATCTAAAATAGTGAAAGTTAAAGTTTCACCATTGTACATTTTTGACAATTTGTGATATTTTGAAATACTGGATTGATGGCTACAGAAGAATAAATCACAAGGTGGATTTAGATGTTTATGATTTCTATTCATTTTATGAAAGAAAATTCATATTACTGTGGATATGAGCTACTGGCCTATGGGGGGGAGGGGGAGGTTCAACAAAGGTAGTAGTGAGACACTTTCAGCTGCACTGGTTCTGGAATATTGAAGATGGTTTTTGTAGCTTATCTAAGCCTCTTTAGTTGGGTGTCCAGAAATTCCTGCACCAGTTTCAGGGTTTACACCCAAATCGGGGGCGGACTGACAACTCATGTGGCCCTCGGGCAATAGGGGATCATGGGGCCCCTGTGTCCTTGCCCAAACTCAAAAAAGCCTATGAAAAAAAGGTACCAGGGGCATCTCATGGGGCCCCCTACTGACCCCGGGCCCTCGGGCAGTGCCCGAGTTTCCAAATGGTCAGTCTGCCCTTGACCCCAATACAGTATCTCTGTGAAGAAAGTGTGTCTACCCAGGTCATGATGTATCTAGTAGTAGGCCACATTCAGCTGGACTTGTTCTTTAATGGTGAAGGCAGCTTCATAGCTCATCCAAGCCAATTCTTCAGTTCCAATGAGTTTCAGGAACATTCCCACATATGGCATACGCCAGGGGTGGGCAACTGTGGCCCTCCAGCTGTTGTAGAACTACAAGTCCCATGAGGCATTGCAAAACTGAGTTACAAGCATGACTCCCAAAGGCAGAGGCATGATGGGACTTTTAGTTCACCAACAGCTGGAGGGCCACAGTTGCCCACCCCTGGCATATGCCAAAATCATTGCCAGTTTGTCTGAAACTTCATATCCATCCAGGTCCTGGTATATCTAGTAGTAGTTAGTCACTTACTTTTGACTATTTCTGTAATGTTGAAGATGTTTCATAGCTTGTCCAAGCCACGTATTCAGTTCTAATAATGATTGTCAAGGACCTTCCCGCTTTAGTTTATGGGTAGACACCCCAGTATGATTGCTGATATATGTCTGTGGAGGTTCTCTTCTATCCAGGTCATGCTGTACTTGGTGGTAGTCGCATTCAGCTGGACTTATTCTGTAATGTTGAAGAGATTTTGTAGCTCATCCAAGCTACTTCTTCAGTTCCATTGAGGTTCAGGAACATACCCTCACCATTTTCAGGATATACAGCACAATATAAGTTGTCAATCTGTCTGAAGGTTTCATCTGTCCAGGTCAAGGTGTATCTAGCAATAGTCGCATTCAATTGTTTAATGTTTTAAGTTTCATAGTTTATCCAAGCCACTGCTTTGGGTCTAATAAGCGTCTGGAACATTCCCTCACCATGTTCAGGGTATACACCCCAACACAATTGCCAGTATGTCGGTGAAGGTTCTTTATCCAGGTCATGAAATATCTGGTAGTAGTTGGTCACTTTACAACTGGAATGTTCTGTCATGTTGAAGATGTTTCGTAGTCTATCCAAGCCACTTTTTCAGTTCCAGTGAGTGTCAGGAACATTCCCACATTAGTTTCAGGGTATACGCCCCAGTATGATTTCCAATATGTCTGGAAGTTCTTGTCTATCCAAGCCATGGTCTATCTAGAAGTCACATTAAACTGGACTTGTTCTGTATTGCTAAACATTTTGTAGCTCATCCAAGCTACTTCTTCGGTTCCATTGAGTTTCAGAAACGTACCCTCACCAGTTTCAGGGTGTACACACCAATATGATAATTGCCAATATATTAGAGAAGGTTCTCCTCTATCTAGGTCACAGGTGTCAAAGTGGTGGCCCTCCAGCTGTTGCCAAACTAAAAGTCCCATGAGGCATTGCAAGATTGACAGTTACAAGCATGACTCCCAAAGGGAGAGGCATGATCGGACTTGTAGTTTCTCAACACCTGGAGGGCCACCAGTTTGACACCCCTGATCTAGGTCATAGTATAGCTGGTAGTAGTTGGTCAAATTCAACTAGACGTGTTCTAATTTGTTGAAGGCGTTTCAAAGCTTCTCCAAGGGCTTCAGTTCCAATGAGCTTTTGGAACATTTCAAGGGACCAGTCTCACAATATACACTGCAAAGTTATTGCCAATATTTCTGAAGGTTCTCATCCATCCAGGTGATGGTGCAATTAGTAGTTCGGTCATATTTAACAGGATATGTTCTGTAATGTTGAAAAAATTGTGTAGCTTTTTCAAGTCACTACTTCAGTTCTAGTGTGTGCCAGTAGGATACCCCCCAACATTTATAGCCACACAGGTATCCCAGATACACCTTTAAAGTAACACTAAAATCTGTCAAGAATACAAAATATTATATTTTTTTTATTCAAAAAAGATCATTCTATTGCACTAAGCTTTCTTTTTTTAAGTGTTGTGTTTTTTTTTTTTTGCAGCTGTGGTCAGAGTTCCTGTTAGAGGGTGGCTATGGTTGTTCTCCATAGCCCCACTGCATGTAGGAACATGGCTATGAGATTTGCACTGTGCATGTGTTGCCATGGCTATATTAGTGATTTTTTTTTTTTTTTAATCTAATAGCATAAATATATAGAATGATGACAATCTATTGTTTTAGAAGCTAGGATTCCCCTATTCATTGCTAATGAACTCCTTGGACTGGTTCATGAGCTCAGGCAGGAAGGGATGCTACAGGAAGTAGGGGGAGGAAAAGAGGACTTGAACAAGCCTTGTGCAGAGGAACAAAGACAGTTGTTTGCAGGGCTTTGGAGAATCAAGAAGCAGTCTAGAAAGGGCATTGCTATGGCTATTTTGCACAGTGCACATGATGGCAACTTACAGGTCTTGTCCTTCCCAAAACCTGGGACTGGACACTGGAAGGCAAAGCAGCAGACTGATGAGCTCATCCCAAAGAGGCTGGGGGAGATCAGCACTGAGATGAAAAGATGATTTTGGGTGGGGAAAGGTGACAAAGATATTTATAGCAAAAGGGGAAAAAAGTCAAGGCAATCATTTGATACACTGTGTGGGATGTATTAAAAAAAAAAAAATTTGCATAGTGGTTTGTCCATTGACAAGTTATTGTGTTCTGTGTGGACTATATAATCTGCAGATTGAACATGGAAAATACTGAATTACGGCCACTACTTTTCATCTGATAAAGCCATCTAGTGGCCAAAATGTGGTATTTTCATGATTTCTCACATTCTCGATCTGCAGAGAATATAGCCTGAGAAGATATGATTTTGCCCTGTTTACACAGAATGAATTTACATGTAGTTTTAATGGATGCATGTTTTATACACATACCACTATAGGCTGTCTGTAGAAAACTACATGAGGGGGCGGAGACAAGACCAGTCACCCTGCACAAGGAGAGCAGCAGCGAGCGGTCTTTATTACAGGAAGTCTCACCCTAGATTACTGCACAGATCTAGAAGATTTCCAATAAGAATCCCCGTCTATAAACTAAACAATATGGGGTCTGGGAGTATTAAATCCCATTTCAGTCTTTGCAGGTGACCCCAAGCTGTGCCGGGGAATAACGTCCTTACAGGATGTATCTAACTTACAAGCCGACCAATGCTCTGTGTAATTGGGGGATGACTATGGGGCCAATGAGGATTATGTGGATGTGGTGGATGAATAAATGTAAGGTTCTGCACTTTTTGGGGGCTAAGAATATCATGCATACATACATACAACTGGGGGGGTCATTTAAGGAATCTGGGGGGTAGATCACAAGCTTCAATGGTGGATGAATGATCTGAGGGTTCTAATGCGTTAAATTCCTCCTCTATGGTATTAGGAGAAGGATAGGCTGGGAGTTCATTTCCCCGATACAAATAGAAAGACCTCAATATGACAGGTTTCAGTTTTTGGGCTCCAAGCATTAACTAATGGTACATGGGCAATGCAAGGCTGCGGATGACAACAGATTCTAATAAGGGGGGGAGCAAAATAATCCTCTCTTGTATTAGAGAGAGTAATAGACTCCACAGAGAGGATATGATCATTTATTATATGATCTCCATGCTACAAATCATTAGTAAGATGATCTCATCTGGAATATGGGAGATATGCATTCAGTTTTGGGGGGATATGATCTCCAATTCACAAAAAGAACATTGGGGAACTGGAGGATAGTACAGAGAAGGGCAACCCTAAACTATAGATACAAGGGGGGGTAATGATTCATGTAGGAGATCAGCATATGAGGGGGGGAAAGATTAGAGGAACTTCTCCATGTAACCTACATAAGGGGGGATATGATCATTCATGTATAATACATAAGGGGGTATGATCTCCATGTTAATACATAAGGGGGGATATGATTCATATTAGGGGGGATATGATCACCATGTATAATACATAAGGGGGATATGATATCATAAGTATATGAATGTACATAAGGGGGGATATGATCTCCAGGTGATATAAATACATAAGGGGGGATATGATCACCATGTATAATACATAAAGGGGGATATGATCACCATGTATAATACATAAGGGGGATATGGATCTCCATGTATAATACATAAGGTGGGGATATGATCTCCATGTATAATACATAAGGGGGGGATATTTACATGATCTCCATGTATAATACATAAGGGGGATATGATCTCCATGTATAATACATAAGGGGATATGATCTCCATGTATAATACATAAGGGGGGGATATGTATCTCCATGTAAATATAAGGGAGGATACAAATTACATTAAGGGGGGGATAGTATACATAAGGGAGGATTATGATCTCCA